GGGTTGCGTTTTCCACCCCTTACAACCATGGGGTAAACCAAATAAATTACTGGCTAAGTGTCTTTTTGGTAGTACAAAACGTCAGGTTAATTTCAATATTGTAACTTTTTCAGTGCTTGTGAAAAAAATTGTTATACAAATTTTATGTACCCCCATTAAGGGGCTGTATCTTAACAAGGGATGCTTCAATGAAATTTCTTTATATGAAAAACCCTTTCTTTTTTTCGATGAGGAATCACCTCCTTAAATGTTTACACTTATTTAGTTACACCCTGTATAACTGTTTCAACGATCGTTCAAAACGTTAGTAATTTTTGCAGGACCCACTAAGCTAAAAATCACAGCAGTTCAACCTGTTGGTATTTGTACTTCCAATAAATTTCCAAATGAAATTGCTTGAAACGCCAATGCAATACACAGTACCAACACTGTTGTCGCAGTACTTGTGAACCGGGGACAGACATACTAATATTAAAATGCCACGGAGGATGGAAATCTTCAGCTGTAGCCGAAGACTATACTGATGAATTATTTTCTAGAAAAATAACAGACGGAGTCAAATTCTGGAAGATGAACCAAGTACTAGTACTGAAAACTTGACCACAATTCGAACAAGAGTTTCGAGTGAAGAATACATACGCAAAAATGAAAAAAAAATTGAAAAATGACTGTGAATGAAGTTGTTTATCCATCAGTAACTATAGCATACTACTCAAATTGTGATATTAAAATTTGAATTACTTCGAAGAGTAAATAACTAGTTTAGCCTCAATAAACCCTTTGGGGTTGCGGTGGAGGGTCGAATAAACCCATCCACTTTGGACCTAACCTAAATACTTACTGGCATCGAACCAACAAGTTCCCTTTCCTCTCAAAGGAATTACTAGAATTCGACCCAGTAATTCATAGTTTCCGTCGATCCTCAGCCTCGGCAGAAGCAATTTCGTGTAGAAATCAAAAGTGTTTGGATCGACAGTGTTGAAGAGGACTTTGGTGTTTCCAAATCCGACGACTGTTACATTTGAGAGCGATGCGTTCACTGTAACTGGACCGCCTCCACCCTGTAGAATCTGAAAACAATGGTACGGTTATGCATGAGGTTTTCAAGAATATTATGAGTATACAGAACAGAGTTGATAGACATATAATTGGAATTAACCATTTTAAAAAAAATATTGCAATAACAGTTGCGATTAGTATTATTTCGAAACGCCAATGGATGAGTCCATGATGAAGCGTCCAAAATTCACGGGGTCTTCATCACATCAATTCGAAACAAGCACTTCTCCCAAATACTGGAACGGTCTTTTCTTCAGGAGATGGAGAAGATTAAATCGAAAATGAAAACAATCGAGGAGAGATACATACGTATAAAAAAATTAATATATCGAAAATAATTTCGATATAATACAAGTGATTGATCCACCTTCTTCTTTTTCAGTGCGGTAAATGGACATAGGCCATTCTTGCCCCCCAAATATGAGTTGCAGTCCTCGTAGTTCTGGTTCCCTTTCAGTGGAAGAGCTTCATGAAGCGAAAGCTGAATCGATCCCTCTACGAAACCCTTCTTCATTTGGAAGGATCGATCGCAGCTTGAGAAATGGTTCTCATGGAGATTCTGTGAAACCTGTTCCTCCTTGCGAATCAGTAGAGAGTTGTTCTAAAAATGTAGAGAAGAAAATTGGATTGGATAATTTAGGAAACACTTGCTACATGAATAGCATTTTACAAGTGTTGTTCATGACGAAAAATTTCAAGAACGAGGTTTTAATGTAAAACGAGATCGGGAATGTTTCCTACTTATTTATCAAACTCAAACACCTATTCATGCAGCGGCAATTTCTTAAGANACAGAGTTTTTTCAAAAAAATTTACTATACATTTTTGTACAAAAATAAAGCTAATTCTTAGATAAGATTGTGAAATGTGTTTGATGTGTTGTGAAGAACTGTGATTTATTTGTAATCTTGTGTGTCGAAAGTGGAAAAATGGTGAGCTGAATGAGTCATCCAGCCTAAATATATCCAAGATGATGTTTATTTGGTCTCTATTCCAAATTCATTTGCAATGTGTGTCATATTCAGCTAAGATTACTAATTTTAAGTGGGACAGGATTTGTGCATGCGATTTTGAACACCGTTTCATAGTACAGGACGATTCGATGCAATGTTCAATGTTTGTATACTATCTTTTTTTTTTGAATAAATTTTTCATGTTGAACCCTTGCCAGTTGAAGAATTCGAATGGTGGATAGATTTGAAGTAATTATACAAGTCAATTGACGTTTTTTGAATTTGACTATTGAAATATTTGACATTTATGATTACAATAAAGTTTTTTTCTCACTGTTTTGATGATATATAAACTTCCACAACCTGAAAAATGTACAAAGCTGAATCAATTGAGAATCTGCTGAAGTTTGATAAAGGATAAACTGAAAAGTTCACCCCAAAAAGTCACTGCGTAATATTTATTTATTTATTCATCCAAACAGGCTGATTAGCTTCAGCTTAACTATAAAAATGTAATTGTGGTGTACTGTTTGGAACCTTTGGTTTAGTAATGTGAGGTCAAACTGATCTTCCTTTCGAAGATGGTCACTTGGTGATCGAAACACGCGTCGAGGTGTTAAAATAACGATTTGGTGTTGGTTTTGATCTTCCTCTTGAAGAGGAATATATAATTTCAGTTCAATAGTATCCCAATTACGGTAAATAGAAACTTGCGATTCTAATCATGCCACTCAGCCCCCTGCGGCTCTGAAGAATGATTCTATACAGCCCCCTAAGACTATGAGGAATATATCTGGTAGACCAAAGCTTCGGATAGGATACGCCTAAATATGTCCAATTGGGTCCAATAAAATTATTGGATTGGAGAATCATTCCTATCTATCAAACTTTATTTTCAAAAATATCACGATATGTTTCGCTATCACAGTAGCTTTTTCATATGGAGTAACTTACACATATGTTATGTCAGTATGCATATGTAGTATGTTATTCACTACAAAAAATCTACTGAGATATCGGAGCATATGATAATTTTGAAAATGAAGTTAGAGAAGATCAAATCTTTAGGTGTAGTTTGTGAAATTACTATAGATCTTCATCAAGTGACGGCTGAGTCGATCAGAAAAATCATCACTTCAATGAAATGAATTATCACTAATGTCGACTAGTTATTTTATTTGTACGACCGGTTTCGGGTTTACCCCATTATCAAGTATAAAACTAACATGTGAAATCTGAAAACAAGGTTATATGGGGAGTTTTTAACATTGTAGTTTTCATGTCCAAACAGATGTGTTCCGCATCCTTACGTCAATATTTCTACCGGTTTGGCCTGTATATACTGCAGAACATTCGTCACACTCTATTTTATATATACCTAATTTTTTCATTTTATCTTGTTTGAGTTTTGCATTGAACAGAGTTTTGTCTAAATTATTATTACTCATGACCACTGTTGTTACTTTGTATTTGTAAATTTTGAATATTTTCTGTAAGTTTACATGAGTAATTGATGCTACTAGGGTTACATGTATTGTGTTCTCTACTGTTTGGCTATAGTTTGAGTTATTCATGAGTTTCATCTGATATTATCTTTTCTATTAGAGAAACTGGAACCTGATTGTTTACTGCAATTTGTTTAATATTTAGAACATGACATTTATTTATGTACAAGAAAGTTTATTATTATGTCTCCATTTTACTATACAAGTATTGTTTAAATCTTTCTTTAGCCTTGCAGAACATTGTAAGTCATCCCTTCATACTTTTGATTTTAATTCAGTCAGTAGATATTATAGGATACCAGACGATATTGAAAAAAATACTCTTGAATGAAATGATGCAAGTAACAAAGCATGGAACAAAGTGAGTTAACAGAAGGTCGGATATTGAAAATGTACACACCTCAAATTTCAATATAATAAAAAAATCAAACAATAATTACAACTCCAAATTGTTCCACGGGTCTTTTTTGTATAATGAAAAATGATTCGTCGATATTAACGTTTTTCGTGAACCTGTGTATGTATTTATATTTTATGTCGAATTTATTCACTTCACCCTTTTT